ATCCAGGTGTCCGAGGGGCAGCTGGATGGCCAGACCGAGGGGACTGGTGCCATCAGTGGCTACCCTGCTACTCAATCCATGACCCAGGTACAGGGGTACGGGCGGGGGAAGGGATTGGAGCTCCGAAGAGTGAGGCGAAGAAGGGAACCAGTGGCATGGTGGTCATCTAGGGCTGCCTGGCCTGAGGCACTAGCCTGTCCCTTTCTGGGTGTTCCTCTCCCTCAAGGGATAGGAGCTGCAGAGTAGTTCACGGCGTATCTGACAGTCACTCGACTCTGTTCTCTTGCCCCGCTTCCAGGCGGTGATCCAGGGTGCGTTCACCAGTGACGATGCCGTTGACACAGAGGGGACAGCTGCTGAGACGCACTATACCTACTTCCCCAGCACTGCCGTGGGAGATGGGGCAGCAGGGTCCACGTCAGGGAGCACAGCAGCCGTGGTTACTACGCAGGGCTCAGAGGCACTGCTGGGACAGGCGACGCCACCTGGCACTGGTGAGATGCCGTGTGAGGACGCTGACTTGAGGGGCTTGGGTCGGCGGTGAGACGTGCGTGCAGGCAGTGACCTTTGCTCACGTGCCCTGACCATCACCACGACCTGGGCCGGCATGGGGCTGGCACCGCTTGTCCCGCAGGAGGAGGTCGCCCTTTCTAGAGGGGGGCCCCAAGGCCTTGGCCTCAGCTTGGTGAGGTTCCTAGTCTGGTATCGCTTCCCAGGTCAGTTCTTTGTGATGATGTCGCCACAAGAAGTGTTGCAAGGAGGAAGCCAGCGCTCCATTGCCCCCAGGACTCACCCTTACTCCCCGTGAGTAACCCTTGTGCCTTCTCAGTGACCACAAGTGGTCTTAAGCCCTGCCACGTCTCGTGCGACTCCTTACTCCGAACTCCAGTCTCATTTTGCCTTGGGCTCCATTGTCAGGAAGTCTGAAGCGCCGCGGACGACTCGGGATGAGAAGCGTAGGGCTCAGCATAATGAAGGTAGGTGTGACCCAAGTGCGAAGCTCGGAGCTGTCTGGTGGGACTGGGGACAGCAGTGACGTCTGAGGGGGACAGGTCAGGTAATCGTACTCTGGGGCTGGCGGCATGTTCTCGCTGAGGCCCCGTGTCCTGCACTTTGGCCCACAGTGGAGCGTCGCCGCCGAGACAAGATCAACAACTGGATCGTGCAGCTGTCCAAGATCATCCCCGACTGCTCCATGGAGAGCACCAAATCTGGCCAGGTCACGGAGGGGCCGGGGCGGGCCGCCCGCGAGCTCTGGCTCCGGTTTCCGGAAGTGGGCGAGTGGGTGCACGCAGCATGTTTTCTCATCTCTTCTTGAGGTTCTTTCGGGGAAAACAAGGTCCAAAAGGCGCTTGTGCTGTGACTGCAAGCCAGGTGTCTTGCATCTTCATCCTCATCCTGCCGGCGTTTTCTTGCAGAGTAAAGGTGGAATTCTGTCCAAAGCCTGCGATTACATCCAGGAGCTTCGGCAGAGCAACCACCGGCTGTCTGAGGAGCTGCAGGGGCTTGACCAGCTTCAGCTGGACAACGATGTGCTTCGGCAGCAGGTGAGACCGCCCCCTCCTCACTATAGCTCTCTGGGGCCCCGTAGCCGCTGAGCCAGCTCGAGACTCTGCGCTCTGTCTTCAGCGCTTTCCCTTCCCCGGGGTGTCTGTCGAGTGCAGGGGCGTGGCTGTGGCAGTCTTCCGACCCACGCCCCTGACCGCCTCCTTCTCACGTCAGGTGGAAGATCTTAAGAACAAGAATCTGCTGCTGCGAGCCCAGCTGCGGCACCACGGGGTGGAGGTGGTCATCAAGAATGACAGCAACTAACGGGTTCGAGGCTTTGGGCCCTAGGGCCCCTTTCCTAGGACTGCACATCGCCCAGAAGCAGCAGGCTAACCCCATGCCCCTTTCCTTCGCTGCCCACTTCTGGCACGAGACTGGGGGTTCGGAGGCTTGGAGGCATGTCTTGGGAGGCCCTGCGATGCTCAGCCTGCAGTGGTGTGAAGCACGGGGGCGTGCACGGACAGCCTCGCCCAGCCCCCTGCCACACAGCCCCTGGGTCCTTGCGGGCCCCTCGCACAGTGCACGTGCTGTCTCCGTGCTGCGGAAAGGACACTCGAAAGTGGGGGCTGGCCCAGAGCTCGCTTACAGGACCAGCAGAAAGTCCGCGATGCTCTGGCTGCCCCAGGACTCTGGCACTTCCTGTGACTCTGCCTGTCCCTGGAGCTCAGAGGTGCACCTGTGGACACTGGGGCCAGGCTGTAGCCAGAAGTGGAGGAATGGCGTTGAGCAGAGGCTGCTGCCCCAGGAAGAGAGGCCTATGCCGACGTCTGGAGCCTGGGGGGACCACAGGCAGGGGCTCACGGAAGGGGGGGCACTTCTCCCTCGTGGGGACAGTTTCTTTTTTCCCTTTTCTTTTTTCTTTTTTAAGATAAAATGTTCAGAGCCCCAGTTGTCTCCTGTTTTTCCTCCTTTGGAGGGCTCCAGAACGGAGGGGCACACTGTGCTCTGAGTGGAGAGAGTCGGGCTGACACTGGAGTGGGGGGCTGCTTCTGTGCTCAACTGCTCTCAGTCCTGCTACCCGGGGCGACCAGCGTCTCGCCACAAACAAGGTTTCTTGGGGCGGCGGGCGAGCGTCAGCCGCACGGTGGACAGGTGCTGCGGGAGGCGGGGCCTCCCTTCCGGCTCCGGCTCTGGTCCCCGGGAGGGCAGTGGAGATGCGGGCGCG